ACCAGTCCTCAGGTGTTGTGGCTGCATTACTTTTTTTCTTTTCAGACCAACAACATTTTTTGTAACTGCAGAAAAATACCTGTTAATCTTGCCAGAATTCTACTCTCTTTGTAATTTTGTGTGCATTGAACTAACCCAAACACTTATTCCTAGCTTTATTCTTTGGACTACAGATCATCTCCTCCCTATGCAATGGAGAGGATGAGGTGTATTTGTTATCAAAATCACGAGAGCAGCCTAGGGTGAAAAAGCTGCCCCACCATATGTAAAATACTGCATGGTCACTCGAGAACTAGAAGTGTGTTACACCAAACTGTGGATTACATATAAAAGCAAAATATCAGTATTATTGCCCACAGGAACTAACCAATCTTCCATTTTTTGGGGAAAGTGAAAAGTAATCTTGGCTGCACTTTTACCCTAGTTTTCCTTAACCAGTGTGCATACTTTATGTACAAAATTTGAGGTCTAAAATAAGTCACGCTACACTTAATGAACATCCAGCAACAGCAATCAAGACTCTGGGGCACCATTACTTAAATATAAGAAATGTTCATGTCACCCATACCAACCAAAACCCGCCTTTATTTTTCTTACCTGCACTACAAAAAGGTCTAGCTGCAATGCTATTGGTTGCAAATTTTTTTTTTTTCTTTTTATAAATAAAACAAGTTTTGTGTTTTTTACAAAAATCAGCACCATGAATTTCTCAAGGTGGGGAAAGAGGATAGCCAATTACAGCTCTGCAAACCTGGCTCAGGTCCTATTAACAGGCCAAAAGGCAAGAGGGGAAAAAGAGCTTGTATCTAATTACTGCAAATATTCCTGACACATTTTCTTAACTGTATTTCACTGGCCTCATACATTAAAAAGTAAAATTATTGCATAGATCATTTTTGAAAAGAAAAAACAAAACAAAAACAAGACAATCTACCTACACAGGCACATTCACAAAAGATAAAGACTTCTTAAATACACTGCTGAAAGGCAATAGTGCTGGCCAAAGTGGAGTACATGAGGGTGGAGCGGGTTACAGCACCGATGACACATTTCAAAGAACTCGGTCTAAACAAACTCTTCTTATAGTGTAATCACAGAACCGGTTAGATGATTCAATATAACTTAATGATTTGCATTCAGTTTCTGAATTACTGCTAATTTACTAAAGCAGATAATTTATAAAATTGTGTCTCTCTAATAAATCATTTTATGAATTTTCAATATTATTTTAGTGTTGCTGCGATCACGCATCTGGTTTATTTGTATTTGATTTGACTAAACCAGGAACCCTAAATTATATGTTTTCTGTTTTCACCTTGTTTTTCATCACTGGGAGTCAATAGGAAGCATGTTGTCACACTCATCAGACTTCTTTGACATAAGCTGGAGAAGTGGTCACACACAGCTCCCGATTTATTTCCTCCACATGCATACGACTGCTACAGGCATGGGAAATGCATTTTTTTAATCAAATGTTTACTCCAAAATTAGATTTAGGTTAATTTTATTTCTTTAATGATAAATAGTGCTTGGCAGATTTCATCTTAATACTAACAAACAAATCAGGAGTCACACAACTCCTTGCATGCCAGTTTCGTCTGTAATAGGCCTAACATTTCTTTGCACCTTGCAGGCTTTAGACTTTTACATGGGCACTTAATTTGCTACTGTGCTTTTATTAGGTTCTATTCATCATGGCTGAACAGAGCAGAGCCAACACGATCTATGCAAAAGGCATATTGATCTTTATGCTCATGACATGTACGGAGAACAAAGCATTACGCTATGTCCTTCGCATTACGCACTAGGCTCCCTTTGAACAGTAGTTGAATAAAACCGAGCCAAAAGGGTACAAATATAAACAGAGACTTATTTTTGAAAAAGAAATCAGTTGCCGATGATAACCAACCAAATTCCTTGCTCCATTTTCTCAAAGAAAAAGAAATTGATTGGTACTATAGGACACAGGTCCATTTTTGTTCCACTTTTCTTGCCATAGCATCTACATCCTCCGCTGCTGACAGGGAGTACAATATAAGGCTGGCTTTCTACCCTCAGATGGAGGTAAGAGCTTGTATACCAGAAGGTCACATACAATAGGGGAAGCCGATAATATAGGAAACATAATACTGGAATGCAGGATTACCGGCTTCTTATTTGCCAGTAGTAAATACTTTGGAGCAGCTACATTTCAATACAATAAAGTTCATGTGCTCAGTTTCATTCAGTGATACCGCTACAGCCATTTTGTTTAGAATAACCAACCACCATTATTGGGCCATCTGCTTCCACAGAAGACAATAGCAAGTTACATATTTTTTTGAGTAGGTAAATCAGATCAAACTCTACATTTCAATAACAGGGGACATAATGAAGCTTTTTTGAGAACGTTTCTTTTCTTCCAGAAGTGAACTCCACCTCGGGACCCCTCCATAAAGCAACAACTAGAGATCCTACCCCCTACTTCCACACTGACCAAATTGTCAATGACTTATGCAGCAACCCTGCTGGTAAAAACCAGTACTGCACCCTCATGCATTCTGCTAGAACAGCGTTCCTTGGCTGAACCATATCCACCAACACAATGTAAACACAAAAGGGCAACAGTCCTAGTGTTGACAGAGGGGCTTGGCACCTTAATTGTACTATACAGAAGGGTCTTGAGCTTAGGGTCCACTTCCCATTTAAAGTGGAAAATATTTCTTTTTTTTTTTCCTCTGAAAAGCAGCAACTTGACAGTGCCGAGTTTCCTTGCAGCAAAGGGGTTACACATAGAAACCATCTTACACTAAAATGTTAATGCTTGATTACAAATACTGTTAAGTCATACCATTGTCAGAAATGTGCACTACTGCAGATATTTGGTTAAAGCAACGTTTCCTTTTATGTTCACTGGGAAAAAGCTTGTATTGTAAGAAAAATAAACCCTTGTTTTCTCTATTCCAGCACCTATTTGCTACCATAAGTATTGCAGGCACTTTGGCAGTGAACTGGGTGAACAAAAATAACTTATTTTCACTTCAAGGAACCTGAATATGAAAAGTAGCATGTCCAGCACAGTGGTCAGGAAGCTGTAGCTCCATCCCACTCCACAAGATATTGAACCTTCCCATCAAGTGTGACTCGACGAGCCAATACGCGGTACTTTTCCCCGCATGCTATCCTCCCAGCAGCGCCAAAGTAGTTGGTAATGGAATTCTTCAAATGGTGGAGCTGGAAGTCATGATCTGTGACATTTTTAACTATTTCTGTATTGTCAGCATTGAGCTGAGAATCCTCCTTGCTTTCATCGTTTCTTCCGATCTCCGAATTGTGAACCTGGAGAGCTTTCCGTGGATGTCGACCCCTTTTCCTGGGTGGCGGTAAGGTAGAAGACCAGGACCTCCCTGTGCGCGTCACTCTTCTCAAGTCTGACTGAGGGCTAGACAAAAAAAAGGAAAAACACAAGATACAGTATGGACACAGAGGATACTGTTTATCAACACAAAACTTAATTTTCCCATAAAAGATAAATGGCAAAGTGTATGTTGTTTGGCACTGGCTGATTTATAACACTTTTGTTTTATATTTTGTATTTTTTCAATAAAATTATTTGTGGAATGTGAAGGATAATGGCAAAGTCATGATTCCAAACCCAGAGCAGGACAACTCCACTACAAAAGGAATCTAGCAGAACTGGCTCCGCAATGCTCTATTAACACATGGTTGCTGGAGCTCACAGGAACAGTGCTGATGACATCAAAAAGCACTTACCCTTTAAAGTAAACCTGTATGCCCTGTAAACAGAAGGTTCACATTAATCCTCCCCTCTCCAGAAGCACAAACTCACCTTTCTTTCCACTTCTCCCCATTCTCTTTGGCTGCCAGGATGCAAGATTAGCCACACTGTGTAAGCCACAAATTGCTTAAGTTGTAGCTTACAAAGGACTATGAACTACTCCTATGTGACGGCTCTGGTACTTGAGATTGCGATTGGCCCAGCACTGTCACATGGTGTGAATTACAGGTACCTCCACACCCAGAAGTGCCAGGTATTTTTTTTCTCACTCCTGGCAGCTAAACAGATTGGTGGGGAAATGAAGGGCAGGCGTATGTACTGCTAGGGATGGGACATCGAAGTAGGCCTATTGTGACCTATATGGGCAAAGCACAGATACGTTTTAAACACACAAACAAAATTGCTTTGCAATGTGCTGCTACAGACCATTCTTATCCAGCCACCAATGTTGGCGATAATCCTGTCGGAACTGGTCAAAGCCACTCACACTATGTACCTTGCACATAACTGCGGCAGCTTTCAGTCCCCCTGGTCTGGCTAAAATGACAGTTTGCTCTAATGGGGCCTGGCTTTAACAATGCCTGGCAGTGTCTGTGCTTGCGTGCTACCACCCTCCATAAATTCCCATTGGCTCATTTTATTATTGCCAGTCTTTTTAACGCCCTGGCTAATAATCAGCTTGTTTTCCACCTTTTACACTAGTGCTATCAGCACAGACATTTAAATACAGATCACGGTATACAATTCAATAATGTAGGAACTACTATAAAATATATTTGCTTGGCCTAATGTTACAATAAATTTCTGAAACCCCGAATGTTAGAGTGCAATAGGTCATGTGTGTGCAAAAAGAATAACACTTGTATATGGAATAACTCTAAAGCCTTCCTGTTTTTCAGACACCAATGTTCAAACTCAGAATGAATTTGACTTGTAGCTAGGGCAACAAAAGCCAGTTTCATACACAGGAGTGCCAATAAAAAATCAATATTAATGGATTTCCAAGTACCTGGAAAGGATGGTTGAGGTAGTTTCTTTTGAACTTGCAGCACCATTGGACTCCACATCAGTATTACCAGGGATAGTGGTGACCTCAGCTTTTCTGCAACACAGATTTAAATAAGACTAAGAATTGAAGAGCACCCTTGGTGGGAACAAGTAAAAGGAAACAAAAATGGTTCTTACTTTTTATGATCTAATGACTCCAATGTGGAATTCTTCTCCAGCACTGGTTCTGTTTCCATTTTCTAATAACGAATGATTACAAAAATAAAAGGTTACTTACATTTTAGAGGCACAGTTAAAAAGGAGAATGTAATGGTTTTCAGTCAATCTTAAAGTGTACCTATTTTTAAATCGATACATTATTTTCAATATTTATAGGCAATCTTCATGCTACAAATAAGCATTCAGTAATAGTGAAGCCATGAAGCAGAATTTACACAGCATTATGGGTTTTCTAAAAAAGAGCAGCAGAAGATGTTTGACCTTAGGCTCCTTTAATTCAGTCTCCATATAGAATCTTCTAACTTTAAAGTCTGTGTGTATATTTGGGTGAGAGCCACTAAACTCGGTGAATAGGCTTTTTTTTTTTTTTTTCAACACACAAGATTAGTATTCTAAAAGTTGTGAAAATCAGAAATGTATGTTTATGGAAACAAATTTTACATAACAAATACACAAAATGTATGCATTTCATTTAAGTTATTGCCATTTTGGCCCAGACATTAAAAATCGTGACCTTCCCTTCAGAAGTTTGCTTTGCTCTTGGCCATTATTTACTCCTGCGAAACCAACTAGAAAAATCTAAACACCAGTGTAGTGATAAATTATACTATGTACAGGTTGTATTAAAATACACATTTCTCGCTACCCAGATTGCAAGCCTACCCCCTATAAGCATATTTGCTCTGTAACCACCTACGGGCTGTACAGCACATGCATTCATGATTACCATTGCAGCATCAAGAGAATCATTTTGTAAGATCTTTCTTCTATGTGAGCCTGGTGGGCGACCTACAGGTTTCCTCTTCTTCACTTCTCCATTATTTTCCTCTCTAGAATAAAGAAGAGAAGTTAAAAAGCCAGATAGTCACAACCTCTTTTTTAGAGCTCATCATTTGTTATCCAACTCCCCACAGATGCAGGTTTACATTTAAAGTGTAGTTCCACCTTCGCAGCCATGTTGGGATAACATCTACTTTATATTAGTTATATGTTCCTATTCCCATTGCATAACAAAGAAAAATTAAAAATTGCAGCTTACAAAATCCTACCTAGCTTCACCCTATTATGGTAAGAAGGCTGGAGGGGAGGCGCATATTTACTCTAATGAACCCCATTGTGTACAGTACTGGCAGATTTCATTATCAGTTGTAAGCTAGATCTGAACATTGTCTGTCCAAGAGTCTTTGAGGCATTGTGTGATAATGAGAGGAATCTCAGTCTGACACTATAATTTCATTCTCAAACTGCTCAGAGTAGCTTGGAATCTGCAGAAAGGCCTTCACCAAAGAGACAACTAAAAAAGGTAAGAAATATATATATAATTTTTTTTTCAGCATGCGGTGTAAATAGGTACACAGAACATACATAGAAAGAAGTTTTCTAAATTTGACTACGCAAGTGAAAGTATTCTTGGTGCCTGTAAATTCCTGTTTCCCTGTATGTATAGTGTTACACTACACATTGCTGCCACTACCATGCAAGGCTACTGATGCATCTTACAATCATAAAAAGGTGCACACACATTAGGGCAGATGTAAGAATTGTCTTTTTAACTGATGGATAGGAACAGGTCCTGCAATTTTCCCATAAGTATGTCATGTGTGTAGTGTCTCACATGTGCCAAGATATTGTGATAAAGAGTTGGGCTTTAAAGACAAACTAAGTAAAATAGGCCAGATATACAATAATAGGTGTTAGATCATTCTTAAAGTTATACTTTTTAAAAGTAGAACTTTTTTTTTTACATTTTGAAGATTTCACAATTATACATCATTGTTATATGTACTTACTGTAATTCCACTCATCTGGGCCCGGGGATTTTGCTGATTTAAGGGTGGCGATGGCGTCTAAGACCTCTGCTTCAGTTATGTCCGAGTCCAAGTCATCTCGACAAGAGGAGGGGAAAGATGGGAAAGGGAGGTCACCAAAGAGGCGGTTAGCCGCAGCTGAATCAAACTGGGGGGGAGGTAATTCCACATTTCAATGTGTGCAATGAATGCTGGGCTGTCTAAGTAAGCCCAGCACAGGTTCTGCAATTGTCGTTTACATCTTTCACTCTGCATGAGCAGTTCACACCATCACTGGGGAAGGGGGCATTCAGGTGTGGGTTTGTGCAACCAAAAAAAGCACTGATAAATGCCCAAAGCATTTGCAAATACTTGCTTTGTAACAGGATGAAGCTTTGATGACTTCCTGCCTTTAATCTTGAATTCATGGGATGTGCTCTCCTCTTTCTCCAATTTCACTGCAGCATTTGGAGGAACAGGAGGGACTCGGATTCTGAGACCAAACAAATGTTTCTTTTTCTTGATTTCCTTCCCGGACATAAACCTGTGCAGTAAAACATGTTTTAAATGAACCTGCAGAAGTGATCAGAAATCTATCCAAAGGGGACACGGAAAAACACAGTTTTCATAGAGTAATCAATGTTAATTTAATGCCTGACAATTTAATTTGCTACCTTTAAGTCTGTTAAATATACACAGAGTATTTCGTTATATCTGTTCAAAATACAATATATTAAGTGCAATAAAATGCCTAATGATTCTACCAGAAATCTAGTGAGCTGACGGCTTGCTCTCAACTCAAGAGGTGGACATAAAGAATGAAGCGCACTTTCAACAAAGTGCTCTTATTCTTAAATAAAGACAAAGTTACTGTTGAATCAATAGGCTCATAGGCAGAAATGTAAAGGTTGCTCTGGTTCACAGGGGGGGTTAAAAGGTGTGGGATAAAGTGGTTAGAAGTATATTCGTTAACTTTGGTACAATACAAAAGCTACATATGTTCGAAAAAAGCACCTCAACTTCTTTAGTTCAACTATTTTTTTTTTGGCTGCGACTTGCAAGACTCTTAAACAAAACTTTTTTAGTAAAGGCAACTTGAAGGTCAGGAGGAAGTTACCAGTGCCATGTCTCTTTTAAGATAAAATATTTACACAAGGGTAAAAAACAGATAAATAAAACCAGCTTACATGGTCTTATTCTCATTTAATGCATCCAGAATCCGTTCATATCGTTCTGCTTTGGGTGTGTCAGCCAGCTGAAATAAACAAGTTACTTTCATGGACGGTCAGTCTTCAGACAGGTTTTTCTTATATAAATGGAAACATTTTATAATAGGCAGTGAATGAAATAGCAATAATATAGATCTCTTACTAAAATAGATGGAATTTGCCCAATGAGCCAATCAATTTATTGGCAACCAATGACAGCTCTGAATTGTACCTTCTAGAGAATGGTATCTGGAGAGTATAAAGCTCCCAGAACGAACAGAAAATATTCACAAGAAAATGAACTTTCCGGTGTGTATAAGTGAATGAGTATAGTTTCACTCTCAAAAGGCCTTTACCAAAGAGACATCTAAAAAGGTAAGAAATATATTTTTTAGTATGCTGTGTGAATAGGAACACAGAGTGGAGTTCTCAAATTTGACTGCAAAAGTGGAACTACCCTTTAAGGTCCTCTAAAAAAGTAACTTTCTATCAAATACTGATACTGAAGAGGTAATCCCCCTAATATATTCTTAGATTCATGAGGAACTCCAAATGTCAGATCTCTGTGTTTAAATTTGCCTGATCTGAATACCAGGGGCAGTGCCAATATAAGGGGTTCCAAATCACCTCCTGGATTTTTCATTTACTTTATATTTTGGGTAGAGCAACAGGATTGTCAACACGCAAGCTTCCAAGGTTAAGTGGAGACAGCCAGAAATAATGGTGAGCGGATGTAACTGCAGGAGTCCCTAAAACAGAGAAACCTTGCAGGAGACTCAGCCCACCAGGCCGTACCTACTACTGACATAATTTGGTGTGGAGCGGACTGACCCTTTACATTGAAACAACTACATGGTTTAAAGCAGTGGTTCTCAACCTGTGTAATCTCAGGGCCCCTCATTTGTCCTTGATCATTAAGGCCTAGTTCACACCTGGGCGTTTTACAGCGCGTTCCTACACTCTGTAAAACACTCAACATGTGAAACCCAATGATTGCCTATGAACATGGTTCCCACCTAGGCGTTTACAGCGCGTAGGAACGCGCTGCAAAACGCCCTACGCCCAAAGAAGTACAGGAGCTTCTTTGGGGCGTATTTGCCGCGCGTATCCATTGGGATACAGCCAGGTAGCCCTCGGAAACGCGCGTTTATTGCACTTTTTTTTACAGCGAATCGCTGTAAAAACGCGCGGCATGAAATGCGCATATTCGATACGCCTAGGTGTGAACCCAGCCTAAGTCATGACCCAAGTCAAACTATAGTGGAAAGCACGACAGTGTGGGCTGCTGTGATGAAGCCTCATCCATATGTGCATTGCTTGTACAGCTCCCATGTGCACCCTGTAGAGGTGCCAGGAGCCGGAATGTGATGTCACTCCGGTCCAGGCACTTCTTCAGGACAGGCGAGGGAGCTAAAAGCTTTGCATGTACGGATGGAGCTCCCTCGCGGCCATACTCCCAGCCCACCCCACCCCACCCCAAGTCAACACTCGGGAGCCGGGCAGCATATTTTGAATGGCTGCTCACTGTAAGAATAGACTGTGTTGTACCAGCCTCCAAACCTAGTAAAGTGGAAGGCATGTGGCGACCCACTGGACACGGGGGTCGCGACCCACTTTTGGGTCACGACCCACCAATTGAGAACCAACGGTTTAAAGCATATGCAAGCTGTTTTGCTTTAATAATATTAATCCAGATTCAATTCACATACCCCTGCCACACTGCATATGTAAGTGACACCACTATTTTCCCAAGCAGCTAGAAAACATCCTGTGCCTCCTGCCTGTTCATTAGATAGCAAATCAAAAGTGTGAGAATCCAATTGTTTTGGCTCAAAAAGCTGCAAAACTAAAATCTTAAAATCTCACCACCAGACTGGATGTACATTGAGGCAAGGCACTTCAAATATTAGTATTTTAAGTCTGCGTGTAGATGTCTGCCTAGTTTTTGGCTTTAGGGAGCTTTCAAATGTAAACTACATTCATTTATGGCCCCCCAGTTCCCTGGCTTCCTCACAAATTAAGCTGAGATTTCAGATTTCACCTGCGTGTAAAATCTAGTACTGTGGTTCATTTGGTCTTTGACCGTATTACATGAGACATTAGTTCCGAGAGGTGCAAAGAGTCTAAGTTTTGCTATTTACAACCTTGCGTATTATTCGCTTCATGCTAACTCTTATTTGGTAATATAAGAATGTACGTGCAATATGAAGTTATTGGCCTGTGAGAGTTCAAGGACCACTATTTAGGAAATTCAGCAGCTGTAAAAGGTCTCCACAAGAAGTGGTGGGCAGGTCTCGTAATAGTCAAACTATTACAAGGTAGGCTTGACCTACCTGCCCACCATGTCAAAAATAAAAATTATGTAATTAGTCAGTTATAAAATAAACACTTAATGACTCAAAAGAACCAGAAAGCGTAACCCAAGTATAAACATATTAATCAGTTTATTCTGTTTATTATACACATCCAGCACTGAGGCAGTAACAGGGATGTATAACAAAAGTTATACATCCCTGTTCAAAGTGTTTTAATAAATTGACTTCAAGTACTTACCTCACCAGGATGCAACAGATCCCAGTTGTCATTTATATAAGTGATGAGTTCAAGTTCTGAATCAAAGTACTTCTTTTTATGAATAACACTTAGATTGTATAGGCAGAGGTGTGCTATGTCTACCCTAGAAGTCAAAGAGAACAAAACACCATGTGTACTTTTTTGGTTACCTACAAACACAATGAATCAAACCTAGAGCAGGGATAACATTTTCAGTGACAAACTTTATATGGCAACTTAAAAATCCTAAAAGTATGTCCAGCCAAAACTCTTGAATTTAGAATAGGATGGAGAAGGGTTAGAACCGCTACCAAAGTTATCCAGCAATCCAGGGCTTGGCTAGTGAGATTTACGCTCACTTCCTGTCGACAAGGTTTAACCAGACAAAAAGTAAGGGAAACTCTACAACAGCATCATTTTTTTTTTTCTTAAGCAGGGAAAGGCTAGAATTTCTTTCAGATTTGTATTGCAGATATATGACTAAGCCCGTAATTGGGAGAAACGCGTCAAGGGGGTGGACCTTGTGCGGGAGACCAGTGAAGTGGTACAAGCTTATATAAACTTGAAATCTGGTGTGTGGCCAGCTTTTCTTCTGTTTGTATGGGTTCATATTAAAGCGAGGACGTCCTCCCAGCGGCAAGCACCGGCTCATTCCTTTCCTGAGCCGTGAAGGAGCGGTGTTTCTTTAGCGTGTTCTTGTTGCAGAGTTCTTACTTACTGTCTGGTAAAATCGTTGTCAGGACAGGATGTGAAAGTAAATCTCTCCACCAGAGTCCTGGATAGCAGTACAAACCCCTGACAGGAATTCTAATCCTTTCCTATTTTATCCCCCAAAAAAGTTTTTGGTTTGACATTTTTTTAATGCATGGACACATATAGACTCAGAGTAGCAAAGGGCTTAGCTCAAAAATAAAATACTATACCTAAAGCTTAATAATAGAAACAAGCCGATATGTATACAACAGGTGTACTCTAATATTATAGCACCTCTATACAAATCAAGGTAAGCAAGGGATTTCTATGAAAATAAAAAAGGTGTTCTGTTAATGGAGTTATTTCATCAGTTTTCATGCACGTTCTGGTTTTTACTGTACATGTCTAACTGAAATTACATTTTGGCAAGTGATTGTAGACACTAGATGGCGTAACTGTGCATGTGTCAGACAACCTGCATCAACCAGAGATGGGAGGCTATACCCAGCTATACAGCTTCAGAAATATACTTCATTTGAGGAAAGACTGTTGGCTTCTGGGTTGGTCTGACCATATCCCGAGTTCAGGATTTAATTTCTCCTCTCCAAGTAAGCTTGGAGAGGTGGCTAGTTTACAACACACACAGGGACCATGGGGAACAAAAGTAGCCACCCTCCAGAAGCAAAAAACACCAAGAGGGAGTGAAAACCCAGCCTCTCTAACAGATACTAAAGAAAAGTAGCTTCTGCAGGGTTCTACTCTAAGTAGATTACAATCAAGTTTTCATTTAAAAGGAGAACTATGAGGCACTCACCTCATAGTTCTAGCCGAACTGTGACAATGAGACTGTCACAGGTCGGCTCAGTAGATCGGGAGGTGAGCGAACACATACCAAGTTCGCTCACCTCTCGATCCTGTCACGGCTCTCTGCCGTGACAGGGGGAGGGCTGGATTCCCCTCTCCCCGCTCCGCCAGCGCTGACTGGCGGAACGGACGGGGAAGGGGCGGGTACAGCTGGCTCTGCCTCTAGATTGACAGCTGGCTCTGCCTCTCACACAGCTGGGCGGATCCCATCTTCTATCGTCGGGATCCGCTCCGGCGTCTCAGTATACCGCGAGCTGTAGCTCGCGGTATACTGAGCTTTGGGTAACGGGAGGACGCTAGTTTGTGTCCTCCCATTACCCTAAGGAGAACTATGGGGAAAAACACTGACCCCATAGTTCTCCTTTAATCCTTTCGTTGCCACTGACGTATGTCATATGTTGCGGGCCCCGTTAAACAGGCTGTCAGCTTTAAACTGGAAGCGATTCTGGAGGCCGAACTGCCACCAGATCGATTCCACAGGCCTGTGAAGTGCGCCTCACCCCGCCTGCTTGGACTGGACATCAGCGGGAAGGAGACCGGCGGAAATTCGTTAACTGATCTCGTCTCTGCTCTATGGGACCAGAAGCGATGCTGATTGCACCACTTCCCGTCCCTCAGCTGCAGAAGTCGGGCAATAGGCTATTGGAGCAATAGCATAATTGGAGTAGAAAGGTGACATTAGGAGTCAAATTGACCCCTAAAGTCACTTTAAAGAGTATCAGTCACCAAGAGTATGCTATCACACAGGGGGCTTGTAATCCCCCTTATGCGATAATAAAGGAGAACTAGGAGGCGAGTGATTTTCACTCAACCTCATAGTTCGAGCCGACGTGCGACAATGAAACTGTCACGTCTGCTCAATAAATCGGGAAGTGAGCGAACACATACCGTCGTTCACTTCACGATCCTGTCCCTGCAGAGAGCAGTGACCGTCACTCACGGCTCCCTGCAGGGATTCTACCCTCCCCAATCCTCCAGCACTGACTGGAGGAACGAACGGGGGCAGGTACAGCTGGCTCTGCCTCTAGATAGGCAGAGCCAGCTGTCAATCAGGGAGCTGGGTGGATCTCATCAGTAATGTCGGGATCCGTCCCAGCTGCGGCGATCCCAGTATACCGCGAGCTGTAGATCGCTGTATACTGAGCTTTGGGTCACGGAAGGACGCTAGTTTATGTCCTCCCTTGACCCGGAGGAGAACTATGGGGAAAAACACTTACCCCATAGTTATCCTTTAAGTTAAAAAAGAACAAATTGAAAGTCCCCCACCCCAGCGAGCATGGGCGTATTATTGTAAACACGCGTTGGATGCACCTACATAGGAAAATAAAGTTTAGGCTACACAAGTTAGGTATTGCTGCGTGCGCCAGAGTAAGAGCAATCATTCTAGGGCCAATATTCATAGAGATGGGCTTTTAAAGCTTCGCCAATTGACAATTTGGTGTGCCACATTTTGTCCCCGTTTTACGGACACATGCAGTGTTTAACATGGGCATGTTGGGTATATGTTTACTCGTCGTAACCTGACCTTTTACACTTTACAAAAAAAATGGGTATTAGATTGTGTTTTTGGGCACTACAACCAACGGCAGTGCAAGTTTTTGGGTTAGATAAAAAGTTGTGCTAATATCATGACATAAAAATTTGCAACTGCCACCATTTTATCCTACCGGGTCTTTGCTTTCAGAAAAATATATAAATGTTTGGGGGGTTTAAGTAATTTTAAGGCCAAAAATGTGGATTATAATGTGTGCAAAAAACGCAAAAAAAGGCCTTGGCAGCAAAAGGGTAAACCACTATAAATCACTTCTGCTACATTCTAAACACTACAGTGAACCACTTTATTCTACTTCTAAAACATCAGCCAGTGTCACTACAATGAAGTTAAACACTGCACGAAATACAATTCAATTTTCAGGGGGTTTAGAACATAAGGAACATTTACATTACAGTGCTGTACTTTAAGCCCACTTGTACTTACTGTAACTATGCTAGTAAGCAAAAGCAAGCCCTTCTGTTGGCATTTGCACAGGTTAACCTTCAGGACTGTAAAGTATGTGGGGAAAAGGTCATACATCACATGGTAGGTCCGATGCTATAGATAGTACAAATGAACAACTTGGGAGAAAACAGCCAATAGAAGTTGGGCAGAAACAACACAGAATAACTACAATTGGTCGACAGTTCCAGACAGGCAACAACCAACAGTGATATTCTGCCCACTAAGCTTTAGCAACGGCAAACAAAATGAAGCTCTACATTGACCTATTGGGAGGCAAACCTTTGATTTTTATTTTGAAGAAAACACATACTTTCATGCGTTTAAACGTTTTATTTAGTCCTTATACACACAGGCATTTTTTTTTTATTCCAAAATTGGCAACACTGGTTCATAAAGCAATATTCAGCAAGTGTTTTGCAAAGCTTTCTTAAAGTGACACTAAACTCAGAAATTAAATCTTAAAAATACATTCATGTACCCGATTAACAATACTGTATTGTATTTATGTATCACTCAGCTGTAAATCCTCCAATCATCTCTGAATTTATGCCGACACTGTCCTTCCTTCTGGAGGGTGGCTACTTTTGTTTCCCACGGTCCCTATGTGTGCTGTAAAGTAGCCACCGCTCCAAGCTCACGCCTGTGATGGATTATAATCTCAATACAAATTAGTAAACTAAACGTGAGATTGTAGTCCATCACGGGAATGAACTTGAAGCGGTGGCTACTTGACAACACACACAGGGACCATGGAAATAAAAGTAGTAACCCTCCAGAAGGAAGGACAGTGGCAGCATGAATTCAGAGATGATTGGAGGATCTACAGCTGAGTGATACACAAATACGGTACAGTATTGTTAATAGGGTACATGAATGTATTTTTAAGATTTAACTTCTGAGTTTAGTGTCACTTTAAAAGAAAATGTTAAGTGAAAAACATGTTGATTATTAGGGATGCACTAATATTAGTATCGGTGCCGATAATGAGTATTTGGGCGAGTAGTCGTACTGGCTCATATGCTCAATACCTTTACCGATACAGGAAACTTCAGGTCAGAGGGATATTTCCTCTGGCCGGTAGCGCCGCGAGGGAACATGGAACCGGCTCCATGCCGATTGGCTGGGAAGCAGACTTCCCAACCAATCAGCATCAAGACGTCCAAACAGATCTGATAAAATGGTGACAACCTCCACCCTGCAGACACCTCATATCGATCATCACCAGCAGCCATTACCGTACCACACATGTCCCTTGGTCAGCTACCGCTCTCCAAGCTCCCCGGACCTGCCCATGTCTCCTGTGTGTACAGCGCCAGCTTGATGCTGTTAGAGGATTTCTGAATGAGAGCGCTGGGCAGTCTGGACATGCGCAGTAGCAGGCTGAGGGGCGATCACAGGGGTGCTATACACACAGGAGACATGGGCAGATCTGGGAGAGTTTGGAGATTGGTGTCTGCCCAGCTGGCCGAGGGGCATCTGTGGTACGGTACTGACTGCTGCTGAGGATCGATGTGAGGTGAATGAGGCATCTGCAGGGTGGAGGTTCCGTCACCATATTATCAGATCTGTTTGGCCGGCCTCGATGCAGATTGGCTGGGAAGCCAATCAGCATCGAGCCGGCTACAGAATGGAGTCAGCTTCCCGTGCAATCAAGAAGCCAGGCGATGGGTAATGACACCCTGCCTGGCTCCCTGATTGCCCAGGAAGCTGACTCAATGCTACCGGAAGTACCGGTATTGGTACTTGGTATCAGCGAGTACCAAATTATAAATATCGGTACTCATACTTGATACCAAAAAAACGGTATCGGTGCATCCCCATCTATTATCATTGCTGACCAGGTTACCAAAATGCTATTCAAAAAAGAATATAAAAATCACAACACGTTGGGATCCACTAACTTCTCTTGCTTATTAAAGCTAAACACCATGATAAGCAAATATTGTCTAAATAGAAGAGTCTTGTGTACTCCTACTTGAATCTTGGTGAGCTTTGTGTATTTCTTACAGATCTGTGCAGTAATCCAGCGTAAAATGCTGCCTCTGTGCAGAAGCTTCTTGTGATAAATACCAGTCACTGCTGTCCTATCTCTTTGTACAGTTTTTGTGCACAGAGTGCAGCTTTAATCAATAGTGTGGGGGGGGGTCTTCCCTGACATGTTTCGCACTGAAAAGCACATATGAAAAGTCTCTTTTAAAGATTCTATAAAAATGTGCTTTTCAGTGTGAAAATTATAGGTGACCCCTGTTACTATAAAATAAACAAGAAAAACTTACTGCAGTCCAGAGAGTGGCAATTCCTTTCCTACTGATTTGCCGGCGTGCAATGAGCCAAATAAGCATCAGGGATTTTCCATTAGAGCTTGTGGTGAGCGCCATTCATTCACTTTAAGGAGTATACATAACTCCTTGTGAATTCAGAAAATACGTGTTCCCTGGCCATCCTGCTTATGCAATGGGTTCAAGCTTACAGATTAGTACTCAGAACATTTGTGCAGCAAGTAAACTAAGAACTCCTGTATACTTTTTACTCAAAGTATTAAACCCAGTTTCATAAAATGACAGCTAGCATTTTTAGGAGAGAACAGCAATGAAGCCTAAATAATCTACTCAGTACAGGTTTCCTTTAAAAGCAGAGGCAGGCAAAATCTGGCCCTCCTGCTGTTGTGGAACTACAAATCCCATGAAGTATTGCAAGATACTGACAGGCATGACTTCCAGAGACAGATGCATCGTGGGATTCGTAGTTTCCCAAAGCTGGAGGGCCGGCGTTTGCCTACCTCTGCTTTAAAGGAAACCTGTTATGAAGTAAACATAGAGGCTGCCTGGCTGGCCTGTTCTTAGGATAATGCTAATAGTCTCGCTGCAATAGTTTGACGTTTTCCCTGAATATATTTTCTAGGGCATAAAAAATAAAATAAAAAATTACCGAATCCAGTGGCAAGCATAACTAGGGAGGTTAGTAATGGCAGCACCTAGATTTCTCTCATGACAAAATTCCTCTAATACAAACTTAAATACAGATCAAGATAATCAATGAGAATGTTAGCTCAAACAAGCTTACAGTGGACTGTCACACTCCATTTAAATTTCAAATAAAAAGGGCAGAACACCATCAAGATACATATAATGTATATATAACGAATATAATTCGTTAATCCAGGTAGAACAATAAACTAGAACATCGGCGTGTATTTGATCACTTACCAGCGTAAAGATAGACGTTTGAGGTATTCCGGTCCAGAATTGCAGACAGAACAAATAAATGTATAAAATCTGCAAGGAAAATTCAGTAACAGACAGAGCTCAGTCTATCTTTCTTAATACTTAAAGTATTTCTACAAGTCATTTAATAAAAGGTGAAAAAAAAAAAAACCCACAGCTTGTAAAAATAATTTGAAGCACAATTTACCTTAAATGTTACTTGTCAGATTTAAAGTATGGACACTGAAGAGTGAACCAAATAAAAAAAAGTTTACACAGGTCCATTATACTAGTTACAGAATATGCACAAATTAGTGTGATGTACTCACAGTCCTCACCTGTCACCAAAAAGCATAGGTTTCTGCAAGCATTGCACACAGGCCTCATGGAACCACTGCTTGCACTTGCAGCACTGAAGCATCTTTAAGTACCATCTAGAATAACAAAAAACGAACAGAATTTAAAGCGGACTTAAATACACAATTTAATGTCACCCCATGACCCCTGAAACTGCTTTAAAAAAAAGTATGTGGTCAAATATGTTACAAATAGGGCTGCAACCAACTAATCGATCAATAATAAATTGATGAGAATAGTTGTCAACTAATCTCATTATCGATTAGTTGGTTGGATCCCCTAGCTCTCTCCTCCATGCTGGCAGGAGGGCACAGCAAGCAGTGGGCGGGTGCAATAGCCACTGTGGAATCTTGCCACTAGCAGCCGTTATTCCCTGGCTAAAGCTATTCTTCATCCACAGTGTGATCGGCCGCACAGGAATGCATGGTACCACAATGCTGCGCGTTCTAGTGCAGGGCAATTGCAAAAAGTTGTGCATGCAGTTCTATTCTGAAGTAAACTTAAGGTTTGTAAAACTGCATTTGTGGATTTTATTTTAAAGAATGGTATTGAATTTTTTTTATCTGATTAAATCTAAAGTGATTATGAAATTCATCATTAGTTGCAGCCCGTTACAAAGTAACATTAGATGGCGTGATCTGTCAAACCTCCTTCAAGGTGGGGATTGATTTAAATAAACAGCATGTTAAGTGTTGCATAAAATGAACACTGCTATAGAAATACAATAAACAAAATCAGGTGTATGGCAGCAATGAAAGATATAATGGGAGGGAATTTATCACAATTGAAGCAGACAGAATCTGGAGCAGCAGCCCATAGTAATCAATCCAATTCAGTTTGTTCAGTGAAGCTTTGAAAATAAAGCATAGAAGCTGATTGATTTCCATGAACAACAGCTCCAGATTCTGCCTGCTCCAGTTTTGATATATTCAAGTCAATGCATCTTATGATTAGAAATAGCAGTTATGTTGTACTCACTCTCCTGGGCCTCCACAGTAGCAGTAACATTGCTGTACATTGGTCTTGTGACCTACATCCCATTCTAATGCGTCCAAATTGTACGGCAGAGACTGCTTCATGACCTGCAGGGCTTTGGCATTGGGTCCTTTTTTCAATGCTCCTCCCCTCTAAAAAAAATAAATAAATGACCAAGTATCAGTGCTGCAGTTATTCACTTTCAGAAAAATAGTGAAACATCTGTCCACATAAATGCCTGCGGCTGACTGACTTGTCTTCACTGTGAAAGCTTTGGCTGAGCATCTAGTATTGCCTAAACAGCTGTTCAGCTTTCTTTGGCATGACAGTCTGGTAAACACCCACTGGTGTTGGCAGAGCTGTTAAACCAGCTGATTGTTAGGCATTCTGATTGAGAAAACTACGCACCAAGCAGCTAGGGACATGAGGAAATATATTCTACTTTCTCTGTGAAAGTGAAAAACTTCTAAGTTTTTTATTTTAATAGTCATTTTTATTACTATTAGAAATACACAGGTATATGTGACGATTAGGCACTGTATACAAAATAGCAGGTGGAAGAGCAATGACATTTAGCAGTGAGGCTGCAAGTACAGGATTCATAGTTATATTTGTTAGATTCTCCATAACAGCGAGGGGACACGGCTGTCATATCCAGATTGCATAGGACAGTCAAATTCTCTCTATTGCTTACTAAATGGAAATTGCATTCAAGTATCCATAACTTATTATAATAGAAAGCTTTTGTTGCATCTATGGCTGAGGTTTACCTTTGTAGTAGTGGCAAATACACACTGCCGGCATAACCATTTCTCATCACTATCAATCACGGTGGAGTCGATCTTAGGGGGGTGGCACAGTTGGTGATATCCTTCAAGCACAAGAAAAAGAAAAATCAGCTTTAACTCAAATGTACTTTCTTATCTAACATAAAATAACAGATAAAAACACATTGTGGGACTTCAGTGACCAAAACAACTGTGGAGTACACACCAACCTTGGCCACACTTGTCACAAATAACTATTTCATTTGGTGCTTCAGAATACTCCTCCTGACATATTGAACAAACCATTTCACCACCTTCAGAGGCTCCTGAAATTAAAGGCAGAAAAAGGGCTTTTAAAACATGAAATATTTTAAACCGTCAATGTCAACAATCATTCCAACTTCACTTTCTGGACAGGAAGGATTAAAAACTTTGCTTTTTATTGCCGTGTCCCCACTGGTGACATTACAAGTCACTTTTTGACATGGTGACACAAAGTGATGGGAAACCTCTACCATGAAGGTTACAAAGTTTTATTAAAATAAGTTTGTTTCCTTCCTTGTGACACATTCAGAAAATGAAAGAAGCCACAACACTAACCACGTGTGGTGAAGCTGTGAAACAGAGTGGTTGGCAACATTGAAGCGGACCGAGATGAGTTTGGATTTATAGACAAAGGCGCTGTTTATGCCATTACCAAAAATATTTTTTATGCGAGTGTATTTTGCAAGAAAGATTTACAAGCTTTTAACAGTGCACACTATGGAGTATGTTTTATATATAACATGCACCCTTTAGCTTATCAAGAAGCTGAGGAGAGAACTGGTCTCAATGGTGGATGCTCCTGATTGAAGAACGGTGTGTAAAAAGAGAGAGGTGGATCAGTGCTCACTGCGATTATTATTGAAGGGTCTCCTCCCACCTGGACAAGAAAGGGGAGCGGGGCTCTAAAGACCTATTGTTTGGGTCTTACAATAAGGTGAGCGGTATTCCTAAAGATGTGGCGGAGGTCACTGATTGGGATAAAACACACATAGGAGGATAAGAAAGCACGCTGAGGCTGGACTGCTGTTTGTATTATGGAGAACTGTTTAATTGTTTATTCTCGATATCTTTCTTTCTGGTCACATTTCACAGATATTTATTAGTAGAAGTGCATGTTGACATTCTGCTTTTGATTACACTATACGTGATCCCAGTTTATTGTGTCACTTTAGGTGTTACACTGTTTTGTTTGAATTTCCACGTTGAACTGTTACACTTAATCGGCAGGAAGTGCAGGAGATTCTTCACATATTGTGGAATATATTTTTGCAGTGACACGTTATTAGTAGATTGTTAAATTTAGAGCGACACATTGTAATTATACATGGTTGGTTTGTTTGTCTTCTAATGGCTGGATATAGTGCTTGCTGCTTTTTTTGTTGTTTGGTGCAAAGCTTTTGTTGTCTAGAAGCCACAACATTGCCAAATACTTTCTTCAAAAACGTTATTCCAGAGGGAACAGTGCATTACAAGTGACAGTCGTAGTAGGTTCTGTGGACAGCATTACTTGTAATACACTGTTCCCTGCGGATTAACATTTATTCAAGAAGAAAAAGATTTGGTGGTGATGCAGCTTCATTCACTTTCGGTTTAGACAGAGAGCTTAGACATAGGACATAGACATGGAAGAATTGCAACCAGTAGCGGTATAGTTATCAGTGCCTCCTTCAAGTCTTTTACCTGTTTGTATGTCCTTCCAGAGTACCCACGATTTAGAGCTGTCTTCAAATAATATAAAGCAGCTCTGCTGAACGTTATCTATCTGTAATACAAATAACACCTTATTTACCTTACAAAACTAAAACAATGAAAAACATACAACTGCAACTTGCAAAAAACAGAAAAATAATAAAGACCTGTAGGAATCAAACATCTGAAATCGCTTCTGTTCAGGGCAACCAACTAATCAATAATGAGAATAGTTAACTATTCTCATTATCGATTAGGCTGGTTGGATCCCCTCTCTTCTCCACGCTGGGAGGAGGGCACAGCAAGCAGTGGGTGAGTGCAATACCCAGCCTGCTATTGAAATTTGAAATGGCCAATAGCAGGCTGGCTATTGCACCAGCCCACTACCGGCTGTATTTACATTCAGCTGCCATCTGCGGAATCTTGCCACTGGCAGCTGTCATTACCTGGCTGAAGCTATTCAAGTGCCATGTGCTTACAATACAATTATTAAAAATAAATAAATTATAAAATTATAAGGGGGGGAGTACTTTCCGTTTTGGCCTGACAAATTCTGCTGCGGAAGGTACGTTGCAGTGCCATTCATTTCAATGACAGCCCAAACGTGCCTCCTACCCAATGTGATCGTGCAGTGCTTTCCAGTGCGGTGCGTTTGCAAAAAAAAATGTAAATGCAGTTTAATTCTGAAGTAAACTTTACATTTGTAACACTGCATTTGTGCATTTTACTTTAAATTAAAAAAGGTATATTTTTTTTAATCCGGTTAAATCGAAAAAATAAATCAGCCAACTAATCAATTATGAAAATCCTCGTTAGTTGTAGTCCTACTTCTGTTTCTAGCAGAGATTAATTATTTTTTTTACCACTTTAACTCATTAAAAAGTCTAAATGCAAACAAACATTCCCCTTCACAGAGGTGAAGGTGACCAAAGATAACTTTTACAGCATGGTCACCATCATTTTTACAGCATGGTCACCATCATTTTTACAGCATGGTCACCATCATTTTTACAGCATGGTCACCATCATTTTAACAATTGACAGGCTTAAATGAGTATCTTCAACATTGCCAAATGAAGAGTGACCCAACATTTAGGGCTCAAACAAAACTATGTGCATTTTGCTCCAATGCATTGCCATTTAAATCAATGGAAATGCATTATGTCAACCAGCGTTCATGCATATTACCAAGCATTGTAATACGCGCTGCATCACGTTACATTTCACATCAGCGAGCATCATAATACAAGCTCCTTGACATGCACCTTTTCAATTACTTCATTGGAACACATCAGACAAAAACAAAGTGTGAGCTGCCAGTCTTATACTGAGAAAAATATGGAGACTGCTAATTATTCGATTAAGTCGATTCGTCGGCTAAAATTCAAATTTCCCGCTCGCCGCTGCACGCCCACGTCAAGAAAACCCGCTTACGCCATGCCCACCGCACACGCCAGCAAACCTGCCCACGCGACGCCGCTTATGCCACGCCCACGCTGAGGACATGCGCCTTGCCCTCTCCTTCCGGTGAGCTTCCCGACTCGCCGCTGCCCGCCGACAACCAACAAAGCCGCTGCCCGCCGACAACACCGTCATTCAAAGTAAGTCGAGATCGGCCGGGAGCTTTTGAATGTTTCCTGGTTTTTTTTTTAAAGCGGCACACTGCAGAACATTAGCAGCTATAGTGGAACAACAAATCCCAACAATACATTAAACAGCCTGTATAATGTATTATTGTTGGGATTTGTTGTTCCACTATAGCTGCTAATGTTCTGCAGTGTGCCGGTGTATTATACATTGGTATTCTGTAGAGCTGCAACAATTATTCGATTAGGTCGATTAAAATGTAAAATGTCCTGCTCGCCACTCACGCCGGCCTGTTCGCGGCTCCATACACGAGTTACGCTACGCAGGATACCCCGCAGAGCACGCCGCCGCAGCGACTTACAACGGTTCAGAAACAGGTAAGGGGGACCTGTTTAAGGCCCCGTTCACATTGAGCGATTTATCGCGCGGTAATACCCGCGATATTGAGGCTATTTACCGCGCGATATCGCTCTTCAATGCTTTGCAATGGGGCAAAGGGTCCTGCTGTCGCGGGTCGTGTGTTGCTACAGCAGGACCCTTTTTGGAGCGGATTTTGCCGCGATTCCAGCTTGCTCAATGCAAGCATTTGCGCGATATCGCGCAAAATGCAAATTGCGCGACAAATGCGCGCATGGGGCCTTAATGTTTCCGGTTTAAAAAAAAAAAGCGGCACACAGCAGAACACCAGCAGCTATAGAGGAGCAACATATCCCAGCAATAATACATTATACAGGCTGTTTAACGTATTATTGCTGGGATTTGTTGTTCCTCTATAGCCGCTAATGTTCTGCAGTGTGCCGCTGTATTATACATTGGTATTCTGCATTGTATTGTGCATGGTATTCTGCATTGTATAATACAGCAGCACACTGCAGAACACCAGCAGCTATAGAGGAAAACCAAATTCCAGCAATACATTATACAGCATGTATAATGTATTATTGCTGGGATTTGTTGTTCCTCTATAGCTAGTGGTATTCTCCATTGCGCTGTATACTGTATTATTGCTGGGATTTGTTGTTCCTCTATAACTGGTCAGTGGTAATCTGCATTGCGCAGTATAATCATTATACAGCGCAATGGAGAATGCCACCAGCTATAGAGGACTACAAATCCCAGCAATAATACATTATATGCAGCGCAATGCAGAATAACGCCAGCTACAGAGGACTACAAATCCCAGCGATAGTACATTATAGTATAATGCACTATTGCTGCATTCCTCTATAGCTGCTGGTATTCTGCACTGCGCCGCTGTATAATGTACTATATTGCACACCACACTTT